ACACAGGTACAAATCGTGACGGAGACGAACAAACATCGTTAATGAACCTGTGAATAGAAGCCGCGTGTGGCCAATTTCATAACCGGCCACAGCAGATGTTTAAACGTAAAAGGATATAAGCCGAAGTAAAGTAAGAACTGAACTGACGGACCAGCGGCGCTTGTCGTAAGATCTATTTCGTTCTTAAGTTTGTCTGGGAGGATACTGTGCTAAACTATTTATATTTGTCGAGTTATAATTCTAAGAAGGTGATAGTGAATTTTTGTTATAGAGGTAATTTTGTTACGGAACAAAACAGTCATCCTAAGTTGCTCACAACAGTAAAATGTCTGGCGATAAATGGGCGGAAACATTTATTAATCTACACAGCAATATGTATAACCATGTCTTAATGTATCACATTTTTAAAAGACATCTGAAAGTCAAACAGGCACTCTGGAGAATACATACAGAAGCTAGAATAAATATTTACGGACTGGATATCCCAACTTGAAGACAGTAGTAAGTCTTAAATTCATCCAGTCCCAGGTTGGATGACTCAGGAAATCGTACTCAGATCATGGCCATGAAACTGTGCATGGACATGAATACGGTGGTGGAGAAAGTCACAACGTGTAACAATAGAATGAATGAACTTGATAGCTGCACTTCTAATATCCACATTTATATTCTATAAGACGAAGCAAAAGAGATTATTGAACAGACTTTAGAGTTTAAAAATGCCTTTAAAAACATCATTTTAACCTGAATCTGAACACTCAATATATATATTGTCTTAAAAAAAGGAATAAGTGCAGATCATTTGCATGGGTACTAACTAACCGGTGAAAAGTCATCAACATACCCTTAGAACATTTTGTTTATTGATGGATTAAAAAAGACGTCATTATTGATTATCGCCTATTATAATCCAATGGAAATGTCTACATCAGAAGTATCTATCACACGTAACGAGACTTTGCTAGTAATTCTTGAATTAAGTACTTTGCAGACTGGGAACATTTTGCCTATTTTCATGGCACAAATCAGACAGATTTACTCATAAAGTTCACCGCAAGTGTCATTCCTGGATATCAGTAAATTATTAACAATAAGTCTGTCATTGGTCTGTAGTAGAATGAGCAATTAGCTTTAGTGCCTTGATACCCATAGATACCAGTTCATCATACCCAGAGATGATTACCACCAGTTTGAGAACCACTTATCTAGATATTCCGTTTAGATATCATTCATTTCAAGTTCTTTTGGATAATAAATGATACTTAACGAATAGGAGTGTTCTAGTTCTAGTTTAAGGTGAAAGTTGCCAATTGTTTCTTTCCTGTGTAGTGTGTAAAGCGTCACGGATTACCTAGTAGAAAATAGTCGGTGGTTTTGAGTTACTTTGTCTTCAGTATATTGTATACTTTTTAGTCCTCTCTGAAGGTTTGATAACAGTAATACCTTGTTGTTGTATTTAAATCAATCTCTGATGTAGTATTCTGAATACATCTTATGTGAAGCAAGATATTAAATATATCTTATTCTCCGCATTATTTGATATATGTAGAATCTGATGTACTACCTTCTAACGGTGTTTGGTATTCTTCAGATTTTTACTCATTATTACTGAGAGTTTATAAACTGAGGCTTGAATGGTCTCGTCGCCCCCTAGTTATTATTCACTGCCACCCCCCCCCCCACTTAGGTATAGGGCCCCTTGGACGGTTCCATCGACCTCTGGGATTCGATGTCGACTACTTTGAGATCCCTTGTTCTTATAATTATTATCTTCATTGCAGTAATTGTCGACGTGATAAAGATAATGAATGTAATCGTACCTGTATAGATAACTCTCCTGAAGAAGGCATTAATAATGGTGATAACTCTGTATAGCAATGTGATTGTTTTTTGGAATTTAAACGTATTTTTATATCAATTTACTTACTAAGTTCTTCTTTCCATTGATTTATGTATCTGTTTATCTTTTTTACCATTACATTATTTACCCACTTTTTCATTTTCAGGATAATACGCAACTCCTCTGCTGACCTCCCGTACCCCGCACATGACTTGATGTTGGCCTTATGCAGAGTTTTTTTCCCAAGTAAATACTGTTGCATTTATGTATCAAAAATATTGTTTGAAAATTACAATTGTTATTATGATCATAGTGATAGTAGTGATAATGATGATAATGATAATAGTAGTGGTGTTGATGATAATGATGATGATAATTGCAATAATGATCACTGTAATAATGATTAGAGTGATACTGGTGAGGATATAATAGTAACGATCATGATACTACTAATACGATTACTGTTACTATTACTGGCGATAATGATAATGATACTAGTATTACTGTTAATGGTAATAGTAATGACAATGATAATAATGATGATGGTGGCGGTAGAGTCGATGTTTTTTTTTAAAATTCTAGGTTAGGTTAGCTCTAGATTTAGATATTCTTAGCCTCAAAATAAGAAAGAAAATATTCTTACCACTTGCTCTTTCTTAA